GCACATAGTGGTGGGTGGTGGAACTGTGTCGTATACCTAGTTCCGTTGGACTTTCACCGTCTCATCAGGTGTATGTGAGGGTTTTATATGATAATCAACTGATATCAACATGAAATCCCGCCAGAAGGCAGAAGCGACAAGAAAATGAAGAGTGCAAGGCTTCCCACATAAGTGTGGTTGACCGGATACCCCCCAGAAGGCAGAAGGAAAAAAAGAATGAAGCGTGTACTGACGAACGTCTTGGTGTGGGGCACCCATGTGCCTGATAGGCACTCTTGCTTGCACAAGTGTGTATTTATAAATCACCACAGCAACTCCACCCCGATGCAAAGAAATCAAAATTGAAACTTCTTTCTGTTTCTATAACAGGGTCTTATAGTCCTGGGTCCTTTCTATTCTCAGCAATGATTGAAACCCTCTTTCCACATTCATGCTCATAAATGATTGCAACGTTTTTCATTGTATCCGACAACATTTGTTTGCTGCAACCTTGAATGGTGCAAGGTTGGCCACAGCTCTGCCCAGTGCACATGAATGCTTAGGCTTGTGCTCCACCGACGTACTTGGGAATACCCCAACTTAAAGTAAGTACGCCGGACCTCCCATACTGAAAAATGAAGTCCCAGTGTGCGCAATGATCGGGGCCATTACAGAAATGGCGACGCAAGACAACAGAAATATCGTGCACCTCTTTTTCAACTGGACCACAATCAGGGGTCTGATGCATTGCACCACCTTCGAGGAAATACTTAGTCATTTTCTCTCTTTACTTTAGGGAACATGCTTGTAGGCCCCGGACGCGGTCTGCCATGAATGAGCTGACATTCCTTGTTGGGTGGCGGGTGCACTGTACATGTGAAAACAAGTGCAATTGAAGTGGATCCCCCGCTTACTTCGAGGAATTTCCTTGAAGTAAGTCGGTGGAGCACAAGCCTTAGAAATGATTGTGATGTTTCCTGTGCAGACCAAAATGTTTGTTAGGTGCACAATGGAGTTGTGAAAGGTTGACGACACTTGCACCAAGTGCCCACTTGCCCGTTTGCCTGAATCCAGCGCTGCCTCTGATCATCTTTTGCCGAACCTCATTTTCCACGGAAGCTGGATATTCCCGACCTTAGCGGAGGCTGGAACCTTCACGAAAAAAACAGGGGTGTGACTGGGATCCATTGTGTAGTTTGTGCCACCGTTTTTTACAAAGGAAGCGTGCGAAGAAGACTCCTGACTGTCAGCTTCCAGCTCCCAGCCTCCATGTGCACTGGAAGCAGTAGCACACTGCAAGTTGCAAAAGTCTTCTGTCTGTTTTCTTACGAATGATCATCCTTTTGTATGTAGCATCGTACAAGGCAAGGGAACAGAAGGAAAGGTGGGAAGGGAGAAAATGAGGGGAAAAGAAAGGGAGGGAATCCGACTCTGATGATCCGAAAGCGAGCTTTCTAAGTACGCGAGGACTGGAGCTAAACAAAGGAAAGACGCAGATATCGTATATTGTCGATTCCGGATTCTTCTTCGATAACTTCATCCTCGATGCTCACCCGCACAGCAGACTGCAGCAGTCGATGACGGGTTGCGATGCAACGTGTAGTACTGAGGCATTTGGCCGCCCCCACAAACAGTACATGGAAGTTTTGCGTGCAGCCTGTGGACGCTAGACATTGAATTCTGACTGCAGCTTGCCCTTTTTCGTACAAGCAGATGTCACAATTAAAGTGGTGTTTTGCTGAGGGTGTACGGTACATGTGACGCGCCAGCTTCCGGACCTACGCCATCTTCCAACCCCCCCCCCCCCTTCCCTTCCCTCTCTTTTTTGAATTTTGGTATTTTTGCAAACGGCCCGACGAGGCCTCTTTTTGTATTTCCATGAACTAATGTGCGTTGTTCGGAAGGCCCGTCCTTCTCAGGACCTTCGACATTTTTTTTGGTCGGTTTTTGGAATTTCATCTTATGCAATTTGGGAAATACATGGGAATTATGCGCACCTTAGCAAGCGCGCTAGGAATTTGGGTCGACGGTTGGGAATTCCGAAATGAACGAAATCTGACGTGTCCTTTTCTTGTGCATGAATGTTCTCGATGTCGTCTTGGGAAACTCTGGGAATTTTCGTAGGAATCTGAATAGGCATAGGACTTTTTTTTTCTCGCTCGCTCTACGCGCGGGTATGGTACTTTTTCAATTTTTGAATTAGCTGTAACTGTTTCGGTGCCCTTTTTGCCTCCGCAACGGCGCCATACATGCGAACCTCCCCTCCCCGCTTCCCTCGCTACCCTCGACACCCCCTTCTTCGCATTCACGCTCCTTCTCTCTCTCGCCTCGTGCGCCTTTTCTCTTTCTTGATCATCTGAATCTTGGTTCCGTTTCGCGCTATCCTTCGCGCTCTTCTTCTTCCCGCTCTAATCCTCGCGCCCAAATATTCTGTCGACTCCCTCCTCCTTCCCTCTAGCCAAGGAGACGCGCCGTGTAAAAAGGAAATTCCTGGGACACGACGATTCTGATTGGCTACGACTAGGATCCACGGGATCGACATGGCTTTCGCCAGGCGAGTATCCCTGAACATTTCCCTACCCCTCCCTGTCTCAGTCCTAACCCTTCCTATCGTCTATCTCCTTTTTCACAGCTATAAATTCCACAAGCGCTCCCGAAAATCTCTCTCTCGACTTATCAGCCCGCTTCCAGGAAGTCATGGCTAGGTGGTATGAAGGAAGGTGCGAGTCGAAAAGTCCCGACGAGCTGACTGTAGTCTGGGCGCTTGGCACGCTGGATTGCCCGATGGATTGTGGGATCTGGGCAGGACCGTGCCAAGACTAAGTTGGCTGGGTGACGATCGCTATGGTGGATTAACACGCGACGGCCGGGATCGTCAGTGCTTGTGAGAAGTTCGAATCGGAAGTGAGTGAGTGCATGGCCTGGGGCTATGGTGGAATTTTATGACATAAGTGCTTCTTTTTCCCAAAATTTGTATCTTCGAGCGTGAGTTCTGATCCATCTGCTTTTAAGCCGGAATGTCCCTGGACAAGATCGCCAGACACTATGTGATTGCTTTCTAATCGTTCTTCCCCTCAGATCTGCATCTATTCTCCCTCGCCCTCTCCTTCTGTTATGTTTTGTTATAATGGATGGGTTATGGTAACTTTGCTTCTCTCAATTTGATATATGCATGTCATGGGTCGTATCAAAGAGTTTGCTATGGCATGATTGGGAGGGTGATTGGCTGACCGACTGGGTGATCTAGCTGCCTGGAGTGGCGAACGAATGATGTATGATTAAGGAAAAATTTATTTTGAACTTGCTTTTGTTGCCATGTGGACTGACGGCCTCAACCCGCCCGGGCACCAACTTCCCGTCCCCCCGCCACGTCCCTTCTCGTACAACGAGGAAAGGATACGTGTATGTGAGTGGGACGTACGAGAAGCCGTCGCCAAGATCGGAGGGCGTTACTACTTTCCTCCCGAAACTCGGTGTTCTGCATTCGTCGGTGCAGGTTTTGTTATCAACGATACGCACTTTCCGCCCTATTCGTTGTTGTTGTCATTTAACCAGTTGATCGTTGTCCCGTGGACGGCAGTGGAGCCTCATTGGCCTAACACTCTGTGCAGCGATTGTCGCCGCTTCGAGCGTTACCAAACCAAGGGTTTTCACTACCGCGCACGTGACGAGGACGACCATAAAGAGAGGGCTACTCGATTGAGGCCCTCCACGTCGGACGCGGAGTTGTGTAACGAGCGCCGACGAGACCTCATCCGTAAACGGGATACCACGTGTGTACCCACCCCCTTTCACGCGAAACGAAGAGCGACGGTTTGCTGGGAAGTCCAAGGATACTTTTTGGATTGAATTTCCCATAGCCGCGAGTCCCGCGCGTCCCCTTTTCTCCCTTAAGCCCGCGCGGCGACGAACCTCCTCCTTGCTAAAATCGGACCAACACGAGGGATTTCGGTTTTGTCTGTATCCCCACACTCAACTTTTCCAAAAATCCTTGGCACACCCCATCTTCGCTGACCTCTCGGGGCCCTTCCGCAAATCGAAACACTCCGACCGGGAACCAGCGCAGGGCATGAGGTTGGTATCAGAGTTGACACGTGTCAGTTCTGACGTTAGTAAGACGAGCTGGCGAGAGGAAGATCAGCCAATAGATCTAATCGTTTGAGTCCCCCCGTCACTCGACAAAGGTCCGCAGAAGCCTGATAAGAGATGCCCATGGCCGACGCTAATGGAGCAGCTCCCCAGGTGATGGCAAGTATCCCCGCCACCTTCCCGTTTTATCCCAACCATACCCATCCCGAGGCATGGCTTGAAGCCGTGCAAGCTCAGGGATATGGCACGGAGGACCTTCCTGGTGTCATCACCCTGCTTCTCCGAAACACCGCGCATGATTGGTTTAGAAGGCATAGGTGGGTAGATTGGGATACGTTCAAGGGAGCGTTCCTAGCAAGGTTCGATGAAGTAAGTGAGGATGCTGCATGGTTTGTGTTAAAAACCCGACACACAGGAACCCGGAGAATTGTTACCCGACTTTGTGGATCGATTTCAAACCGTGTTGGCGGGAAGAAAACGCTGCTCGAGACTTGTTCATCGATCACCTCCGTAATCCAGTACTGAAAGCAAAACTGCAGAAAAAGGTTCCTTTAAAGACGAACCAACTACCTGTCATCATCGCTAAAGCCCTTGAGTTGGACTTGCTAGATATGCGCAAATACATCAGCCATGGGGATGAAGACATCTCGGACACGATACAGGATGTGGCCGCCAAACGGTGTTCGTGGCTCAGAGCGGTGGGACGATTCTACCCTCGCCCTGATCGCGATTATCAAGACGGACCCTCACCGGATCCCTCCCCTCATCTCTTGTCTTCTGTCCCCCCCCCCCCCCCCAAGATGGCATCTGTGAACACCGTCATGCCCCAGGCTGCTGCACCAGTACCCATCACTAATCTGCACCTAGCCCAGATGATTCATACCGCTACGACTAAACAATCTGAGTGGATGAACAACCTGATTCAGATGCAAACTTCCCAAATGGATTGATTGGAACAGATCATGACGAAACTAATAAAGGCCAACTCGAGTTCTCCGCGTCCCACTCCTCCCTCGTATCCCCTGCTGACTGCTCCTCCCGCCCCCGGCCAAGCGTCTCCCGCCCCGTATCCTGTGACCAATCCGGTAGGGAGAGTTGAATGCTACAACTGTAAACAACACGGACACTTTGCACGAGACTGCCCTCTGCAAAGGCGTAGCCAACCTCCACCAGCAGTCGCGCCTATCGCCCTGAACCAAGGTCGGGTAGCCACATTGTTAGAAACAACAAGAGAAAGGGAGCCTGACTCTTTCTCTATAGAGCCATCTTCTTCGACTGAACCCATCACGTCCACTTCGGGATCATCTTCTGAAGCGGCCGATGTTGTTGATCCGACAAAGTACCTCCAATTAGCGGGACTAATTGGAGCGATCCGACCTGGCAAGGACGAGCTCGAATGGGTTGAACGAGGATCAGAACCCGGTCCTCAGTTTCGAACAGGAGAGATCGACGTTCTTCAGACGCTCAAACACTTGGATATCCGAGTCTCTGTCCCGGTGGGTCATTTGCTGACCATATAAAAAACAGCGAATAACAAACTGCTTCAGTAGTATCAGAAAAACCAGAAACGATTCATGTACCCACATGTTCAAAGGATGATGAAGAAAAAGAAGGACGACGAAGCACAGATAGACTCTCCTCCCTCGGAACCAATACCCACCGTAAACATGCCCGACGCGCCTGGAATTGCCCGGGTCCTTACCATTTCGTATGCAGAGAAGGATCTTTTTGTCCGTATTCGATCTGTTCTATGGAAGAGTGCAAAATGTGATTGTGAGGTATGGGGTAAGCCGTTCAATGCTCTCGTTGATACCGGATCATCTGCTATGGCGATATCCTTGGAGACCGTTCGAAAAAGTGGACGATTGAATTCGATCCTGCCCGGGAAAGACAACTACGTCTATGTCAATGAAGAAATCATGAATATAGTCTGAATCATCGAAAACGTAGTCGTTAAGGTAGGACGAGTACATGCCCTGGTTAACGCGTTAGTCATCAATGTGCAGTCATATTCGGTACTATTGGGATTACCTTGGGCAATGACAGTGGGCGCGTGGATACATTTCGACTCCAAACAACTTATCCTTACACACACTGGAGGAAGGCCTCAAACTATTCCGCTACGAGTTTCCACTCGAGCGCCAAGAAAGAGTCCCAGTCTCATCCGAGTAGGAATGATCCAAAACTTGAGTCCGGAAGATTCGTTCGAAAATGGCGACGAGGACCGACATCTTTCTGATGATGACGGGTATTACGAACGAGACTATGATGAGCTATTAAATTACACACCTACTGAGGAGGAATGGAATCGGTTAGTCGAGTTGTTCGATCACGAGGCTAAAGAAGAATTCCGGATGATACCGACTACCGCACGAACATTTGATCTAAACATAGAGAGCAGTGAGTGTATCCCCTCTCACGCGAACAGAAACACAGATTCCAACAATGTCCTTCCTGGGAGAACTTATCTTGCAGATTTCGGATATGGCTGACCTCTTGGAACCCCCTCAGACCTTGTATGAGGGCGCGCTTTCATTATGGGAAAGATATCAGCAAATGAATCAGTACCTAGATTTTTTTGTCTCCCCACCCAAACCATTGCTCACGCAAGGTGCGGTGATTGCATTAATTCGACAAGAGGCCGAAGCCTCGATCAATGATGTCCCCAATTTGATTCAGAAAATGGTTGAACTAACTGGGTTGGAAATCGCAGCGAGCGCAACTGACCTCGAAACCAATGCCAAAACTAAGGAAACTGAAATGACCAGCCCGACCGAATCACAGATGCTTGCTACTGTTTTTTTTCGTCCGAACCAGTAGCTCCATGTTCTCCAGCATGGACGGTAAACGACCAATGGGACCAGATTGGATCGACATACGGCTTGACATTTCCGAATGGTCAGCGATCACCTTACCCGGTCACGTGCCCAGAGAAATTCGCAAGTCTTTGGTTGATGTATTGCATGGATATGCTGAGGTGTTGAGTGTGCACGATAACGGTATTGGGCTGTCAATTGTGATTGAACACGCGATCCTCACAGGGGATCATCCACTGATTAGCTGTGCTCCCTATTGGTACTTTTCGACTCAGCGACTGGCTGCATTCCAGAGAGTAAAGGAGTTTGAAGCTAATGGATGGATTGAACCCGTCATCAGACCGTGGTCGTTTCCTGTGGTGATTGTACCAAAAAAGGTGAGAGAGATTCATATATGTATTGATTACCGAAAGTTGAATGACATCACTATTAAGGATGTGTATCCCCTCCCCCGGATTGATGAGTTGTTGGATGCTATTGGTGGTGCTCGATTTTTCCACAAGTTTGATGTTCGTCCTGGATTCCATCACCTCCGTATTCGAAAATCAGATCGCCCAAAGACGGTCTTCGTTCTTTTCGAAGGAACTTAACAATAGATTCGATGCCCGATGGGAATTTGCAATGCCCCAACCATGTTTCAACGCACGATGAATATGGCCTTTCATGCGAAAAACGCGGTTGGCGCAGAGCATTATCAATTATTGTGTGATAGTATATATGGATGATATCTTGGTGTATTCTAGCTCCTACGAAGGGCATGTACAACACATTGAGTGGGCGCTGCACGCTTTGAGGGACGCGGGATTCAAAGTGGCTCTCGAGAAATGTCAGTTTTTTCTCACCGAGATCTCCTTTCTCGGCCACGTGGTTACGGATAAGGGGTTGCAACCAGAACCGCAGAAAGTAGCCGATGTGAAAAACGCGCCGGTGCCGACGTCAGTAACATAAGTACGCGCCTTTTTGGGGCTGGCATCGTACTATCAGAGGTTTATCAAGGGGGTTTGCAGCGATTGCGAGACCGCTCACAAACTTGTTGAAAAAAGATCAGCCGTTGATCTGGACACCGCAGTGCGATCAGGCTTTTCGAGAACTCAAGGCGGCTTTGATCTCAGCCCCGGTCCTCGTAAGACCGGACCCGGAAAAACCTTTTGTTCTCATCACCGATTGGCAGCCCAAGGCGATCTTAGCGATCTTGGCCCAGGTGGGACCTGATGGTCTGGAACACGTGGTGGAATATGCGTCTAGATCGGTCCCTTCCTGCAAGTGGAACTACTCCGCTCCAACGGGAGAATGCTATGCGGCCTTGTGGGGAATCATTCACTTCCGAGCTTATTTATATGGTCGGAAGTTCACATTGGTAACCGATCATGAACCACTGTTGGCCCTGAAGAAGTCCAAGGATTACTCGGGTATGATCGGACGATGGGCTACCATGTTGCAGAACATGGATTTTGACATTCGTCATCGGAAACACGAGAAACACAGCAACGCGGACGGGCTGACACGATTGCATCGTCCCGCCAAGGTACCCATGAGTGAGGAAGTGACACTGTGGCACGATCCGGAGCCAAAGAACGAGCCCCAGTATGGTAAAGTGGAGATCCTTCTGAAGGATTAAGTGGACACGTGCTCTCTCTCTCTCTCTCTCTCTCTCTCTCTCTCTCTCTCTCTCTCTCTCTCTCTCTCTCTCTCTCTCTCTCCTTTCCCCAGAACAATGGCGACCCCTTCTTCTTCTGCTCCTTCTCTCAACCCCACCGATTCCTCTCCTCCTCCGCATTTAGATTTTTTCGCCAATCTTCCGGACAAGTTCTGTTATTTTTGCATGTGTATTTCACGAATTTATGGGGTAGATTGCTATCCCTTTGAGTCGGGGTTCGCTGACTGGGTAGAATGTGCCACGTGTGTCAATAGTGCGCATGGCGCGTGCGTTCGATATCGAACGGGTAGTAAAGTGTGGAAGTGCCCACTTTTTCAGACGAACAAGCTTCCCACGGAAGTTCGATTCGAGGCCGCCAGAACCGACGGCCCCGAATACGACGAAAAATAGCGAAGGGCTGAAGTATGGACGGATAAAATATTATTGGCTAAATTAGCGGGCAAACCACTGGACCATCTCCTTAAGCATGACAGGCGTCGGGCCACCGAGAGGTCACGAGATTATCGATGGATCAACGGTCATCTGGAAAAATGCAAAACAGACGGGTCGGGATTATGGATGACGGTTCCACACCCATTTCAGTGATATGACTGGACCACATTGGCGCACGAGGAGCAGACCTCTCATTTTGCGATACGTGTCACTGAAGCGACCATCGATAAAAATCGATGGTTCTGGTCTAATATTCGCGATGACGTGAGACACATGGTCGCTAATTATCCAGTCTACGCTGCCGATCGTGCGCCCCTTCATGGGCCAAACACGATAGTCCCGACAGAGGTAGAACGTCCTTTCCAACGAGTCAGTATGGACACGACAGATATTGACGTGCCACTTGGCCCCAACTGTTGTGAGTACTCCAGTCTCTTGGTGTTGATCGACCATTTCTCGAAGTACATCGAAGTTTACCCCTGTAAGACACGTAAGGCCTCAGACATAGCTACGTACATCGACCGATTCCTCAATACCCATCTAAATACAGAAGAGATTCTGACCGACAATGGGCCTGAATTCAAAGCAGAGGTAGAGGAATTATTAATGCGTCGTGGCGTTACTCTCCGACACACTGCTTCCCATGTCTCCCAGTCCAATGGGCTAGCCGAGAACGTGAACCGCATGATTAAGACCGCTCTCCGTAGGAACTTGGCGGCCAATGACACGCGTCCTTGGCCCGAGATAGTGCATCAAATCATCGGGATCCATCGGGCGACCCCCCATGAATCCATTGGATTCACCCCCTTTCAGCTACGAGCGAATAGTATCCCACGTGTCGACAATCGGAGTGCCTCGGAAATTGTCGAAAAAGGGGGAAGGGACACGCGGCCGACCCTCAAGGCCAAGGCTAAACGGTACGCAAAATTAATGGAAAAGGCTATCCCTAGGCTAGCCCGAAAAAGGCAGAAAATGACCGGACTGGCCCACGGTAGGCAGGTCCGTAGTTACGAGGGCCGGAAAGGGAATGCAGGCCCACAACACTAATATAAATTAGGGGACCTAGTGCAGGTACGTAAATGTGCACGCGACTAGAAACTTGCTCCCAAGTTTTCTGGCTGCTTTCGAGTAGTGGAACTCGGCCCTAACGGAGCCAATACTGTGCGCATCGCTTCTGAGACCAGTGCCAGCCATAACTCTCTTCCTATCGTCCGCCATACCTCCTACCTCCGCCCCCTCCCACCTTCAGAGGACCCTATCTCGCCTTCGTCTTCTTGCTCTAGCCCAGACGAGGATCTCGCTTCTCCCCCTTCGTCTGGTACCACTTCTCCTCGATCTTCGCCATGAGTTTCGCCATCGAACCGGCTCTTCCTCCACAGCTTCTTCAACCTCGCCCTTCGTTGCAGTTTCGCGAAGTCACACATCCTTGTCTCAGTCCCGATCTCCTCCGGTTTGCGCAGCTGTTTAGCTACGGGGCTTGGTGCGCGGTGGAGCGACGTAATGGTGATCCTTGCCTTCCGTGGCGATCTGAGCACTATCCACTTGCAGCAACGCACATGGTGATCACCAGCCTCTACGAGTGGGGACAGGAGTGGGTAGCGGATTGGCGGCGGCGACTAGCCCGACCAGGCCGACAAATAGTGGGAACCGAGTGTATCGATACCTTCTCTCTTCGGACTAGTAGCACTGATCCCCCTGCTCGTCCCCTTCCCCCTCTTCGACCCGACCCCTTGCACCGATGATTCACTTCTCGACCTTCTCCCTTCCTTCAGATCTTCCAACTCTCTAGCCATCTTGGGCTGATCCCCTTCTAACTTTGGAAATTCGCCCTGCCACGATCCCTCCCTTTCATCCTCTTTACCTCCGCAAGCGGACTGAATTCTCGTCGATCAGCGTGTGCATGCTAACAGTGAAGTGTCATTGGGATCGGTACTACAGCAATCGTGAGTTGGAGATCTACAACGAGATCTTGCTAGTACTAGCTCAGGCGTGGCCGACGAAGATGGAGACTTGTGGCACCTTATTTGGACTTCTTTGCAGAGAGATCATTGAAGGAGGTAGAGCGACTGCTGCCTACGAGCTCCTCACCTTTCTGTCCCAGCTCGTCGGCGACCTGCCAGCGAGCATCATCTCCTTCAATCCAAGCGACCCCAACCAAGTCGAACCCGTCACTTTGGAGAGGACGTTGACGCCAACGATAATTTGGGCGAACTATACGGAAGACTTCGGCCAATACCTGAGCGTCACGACCCCACGGCTTGGCTCGATTTGGACTTGAACGATCTTGCGCCAGACAACTCCGATCTGGACAAGTTTTGGAATGCCCACCGGGCACACGGCGAGGTGCCATCAGGCGACGATCCAGGTGGCATAGCCATCACGGGTATGTCAGTAGAAGAAGAGTCGGAAGCCAGGTCGACGTCGAAAGAAGAAGAGGAGGCGTCAGCAGCGGAGCCCCAGGAGGCCCCGCTGGCCCAAGCACCATCCACTGCGCGAGGAGGATCTGCTCTGAATCTCGAAGTCCCTGCCGACACCGCCAGTCGACACGATGACGCAGAATCCTTCCGACGTCGTCGCCGCTCTCGCTCACCATCTCCTACCTCCTCCGCCCCCTCCGCGCTTCGTTCCCATCCTCCTTCCCGCACGGGCACTCCGTCCTCGTCCCATCTACCACCGCCCTCTTGATTACCTTTCCTTCTCTCCTCTCCCCCATCTCGAATTCCCCTGAACTACCGCATCTTCGCCAACCAGCTTTTCTGCCACCATTTCGCCGTACGACTTTTATGCACAGTTTTCCCACATCGCGCCGCCTCCTTCCCTCTCAATGTTCTTCTTTTCAGTGTCGCCTGGAAACAGTACAACCATCTCGAGTTGTATTGCATCATCTCCAGAACCTTTCCCGCAGTAGAGGACTATGAGTCCCTACGCGATAATATCCTCTTAACTATCCCTACTCTGTATCCCGATTACCTCCTCTCCCTCTCCCGACCCAACCATCGATTCCCTCACGCACACTGAATTGTCCACTTTGTCGATCTCGATGACGAAGCGTTCGATTACTTCCCTCCGTTCCCTGCTGAATGGCCTAGACCACTCCATAATCCTCTCCTCGTCAATTACCGCCGATCGGACATTCAGTGACCAAACAGAACTGGGCAAGATCGACGGGCCATTCATGGTGCCACTTGGACGACCTCCGCCAGTCAAAGAGGCAGGGAATCGCACATGACAAGGTTGGGTGGTAGAGGAACAAGCCAGCAGGATCGCAAAGACATTGCACGTGAAGTTGGCGTCAACATGGCCCCATCCAGTGCTTATGCAAGATTCTGTTGTTTTGATACGTCGGGTTCCTCATTCATCTCCTCACCCCCTTCCCCTCCCTCCACCTTGTAAACTAGTTCTCCTGCATGCAATCGGGAGATCGGATAATTTTGGAACCCCTTGAGCGTCACATATGTGACGCGCCAGCTTCCGGACCTACACCATCTTCCAACCCCCCCCCCCCCTCCTCCCTCTCTTTTTCGATTTTTGGTATTTTTGCAAACGGCCCGACGAGGCCTCTTTTTGTATTTCCATGAACTAATGTGCGTTGTTCGGAAGGCCCGTCCTTCTCAGGACCTTCGACATTTTTTTTGGTCGGTTTTTGGAATTTCATCTTATGCAATTTGGGAAATACATGGGAATTACGCGCGCCTTAGCAAGCGCGCTAGGAATTTGGGTCAACGGTTGGGAATTCCGGACTGAGCGGAATCTAACGTGTCCTTTTCTTGTGCATGAATGTTCTCGACATCGTCTTGAAAAACTCTGGGAATTTTCGTAGGAATCTGAATAGGCATTGGACTTTTTTTTCGCGCTCGCTCTACGCACAAGTATGGTACTTTTTCAATTTTTGAATTAGCTGTAACTTTTTCGGTGCCCTTTTTGCCTCCGCATTGGCGCCATACATGCGAACCTCCCCTCCCCGCTTCCCTCGCTACCCTCGACACCCCCTTCTTCGCATTCACGCTCCTCTCTCTGTAACCGCTTTCCATCTCTCCCTCGCCTCGCGCGCCTTTTCTCTTTCTTGATCATCTGAATCTTGGTTCCATTTCATGCTATCCTTCGTACTCTTCTTCTTCCCGCTCTAATCCTCGCACCCAAATATTATGTCGACTCCCTCCTCCTTCCCTCTAGCCAAGGAGACGCGTCGTGTAAGAAGGAAATTCCTGATACATAACGGTTCTGATTGGCTACGACTAGGATCCAAGGGATCAACATGGCTTCCGTCAGGCGAGTATCCCTGAACCTTTCCCTACCCCTCGCTGTCTCAGTCCTAACCCTTCCTAGCTTCTATCTCCTTTTCCGCAGCTATAAATTCCAGAAGCGCTCCCGAAAATCTCTCTCTCGACTCATCAGCCCGCTTCAATGCTGGCAGGTTCTTTCTCAGATTTCTCGTACTCACTGTGTTCTCAAACAAACCTGCACAGTTAATCCTCTGGAAGCCAGAGTAATCAATGCTGGCAGGTTTCTCAGTCTTTCCGTTCATGCTCATCAATTCTGTATATGGGACGCTGGACCCGTTTTCCAGCAGGTGAAGCTCCCCACCAATAGATGGAGCCTCTCCCCGGGTGCTTGTGGTGTCTGCTCTTACCAGCACCACTAACACTGCAGGGGGTATTTTTTCAACTGTAGTCTGGGCGCTCGGCACGCTGGATCGCCAGACGGATTGTGGGATCTGGGCAGGACCGTGCCAAGATTAAGTTGGTGAGGTGACAATCGCTATGGTGGATTAGCACGTGACGGTCGGGATCGTCAATGCTTGTGAGAAGTTCGAATCGGAAGTGAGTGAGTGCATGGCTTGGGGCTATGGTAGAAATTTTATGATAGAAGTGCTTCTTTTTTCCAAAATCTCTATCTTCGAGCGTGAGTTTTGATCCATCGACTTTTAAGCAGGAATTTCCCTGGACAAGATCGCCAGACACTCTGTGATTGCTTTCTAATCGTTCCTCCTCTCAGATCTGCGTCTATTCTCCCTCGCCCTCTCCTTCTGTTATGTTTTGTTATAATGGATGAGTTATGGTAACTTTGCTTCTCTCACTTTGATATATGTATGCCATGAGTCGTATCAAAGAGCTTGCTCTGGCATGATTGGGAGGGTGATTGGCTGACCGACTGGGTGATCTAGCTGCCTGGAGTGACGAACGAAAGATTAAGGAAAAAATTGTTTTGAGCTTGCTTTTGTTGCCATGTGGACTGACGGCCTCAACCCGCCCAGGCGCCAACTTCCCGTGCCCCCGCCACGTCCCTTCCCATACAACGAGGAAAGGATACGCGTATGTGAGTGGGACGTACGAGAAGTCGTCGCCAAGATCGGAGGGTGTTACTACTTTCCTCCCGAACTCGGTGTTCTGGATTCGTCGGTGCGGGTTTTGTTATCATCGATATGCACTTTCCGCCCTATTCGTTGTTGTTGCCATTTAACGAGTTGATCGTTGTCCCGTGGACGGCAGTGGAGCCTCATTGGCCTAACACTCTGTGCAGCGATTGTCGCCGCTTCGAGCGTTACCAAACCAAGGGTTTTCACTACCGCACACGTGAAGAGGACGAGCATAAGGAGAGGGCTGCTCGATTGAGGCCCTCCACGTCGGACTCGGAGTTGTGTAACGAGCGCCGACGAGACCTCATCCGTAAACGGGATACCACGTGTGTACCCGCCCCCTTCACCCGAAACGAAGAGCGACGGCTCGCTGGGAAGTCCAGCGATACTTTTTGGATTGAATTTCCCATAGCCGCGAGTCCCGCGTGCACCCTTTTCTCCCTTAAGCCCACACGGCGACGGACCTCCTTCTTGCTAAAATCGGACCAACACGGGGGATTTCAGTTTTGTCTGTGTCCCCACACTCAACTTTTCCAAAAATCCTTGGCACACCCCATCTTCGCTGACCTCCCGAGGCCCTTCCGCAAATCGAAACACTCCGACCGGGAACAAGCGCAGGGCATGAGGTTGAGCGTCACATTACACGCCTAATAATTGATCAAACAGGTCAAGAGTTCAAATCCAGATGAATAAAATAATGCTACTGTCTTACCCCTTTTATAGGAAAGAGCGAACAAGCAACATGGTTTCGACATGTAAGGAACATAGAAGCAGGTCGGACAGAATTATGTAGTTGAAGGTGATGGTCCTGAGTGATAGACACTGAGGTAGGATAGGGGGGAGTGGGGTGCGCCAAGACAATTGACCAAAGGAAGGGAAGGAAGGTGTTCTCAGCCCACGGCCAACAGGATCACCCGGTAGCCCCTTCACCACCACCCGATCCCATCCCTGTTTCCCAGTTGCCCTCCCCCCCTTCCTCCCCTTCGTTGGCCACTCCGGCCCCACCACCCCCTTTTCCATCGGGCCCTCCCCCACTCACCCCATGACACCTCCACCACCAATTGAATCCCTCCTCATCCCCTGGAGACCCCCTCCCAATGGCTCCTCTGCCTACCCTCCCCACCTCTCCCCGCCCCATGATTCATGGTCAGCCGGACCCAACGATGACTCTCAGCGAAGGCAAACCGTAGCAGACAAATGACAGCTGCACAGTAGGGGACATGGGCAGGGACTCCTCTCGGTACAGGGGCTGAAGTAAGTTGAGCTGACAAGCCCCAGACCAAGTGGGGAGCTGGACCGAGTTTCCCGCGGGAGTAGTACCCCACCAAAAGTGGGTAGAATCGGGAAATTGCATGTGAGACGGGCTCTTGGGTTCAGTCAAGCTCCTTTATCAGACGTCATGTCTTGCATCCAATGGGACGCTGGACCCAGTTTCCAGCAGGTGCAGCTCCCCAGAGTCCCCACCAATAGATGGAGTCTTCTACAGGTGGACCACTTGAGGAAGGGGCTCTTATCACCTCCTCAGGTGGTATCCCCTACCAGAAGTTCACTGAAAAAAAAGGATGGTTATCTCATGAAGGGGCTAGAACACTTCCAAAAAACAAAAACAAAAAAAAAAAGTAGACGATGTGAATCAGGCCATCCCTCCTATTGATAAGAGGACATGCTAGCAGAGGAAGGTATGGATGAGAACACTACAAACAATTATCTGTACTGGCGGGACACAGGGTTGCATGGACCACGCCAGAAAAGTGCTCCCAGCAGAGAGTGAGTGTTGATCACATGCTAACCAAACATCCACTGAGTCATCACATAATGCAAAAGTCCTTGTTAAAAAAAAACGAAAAAAACGAAAAAACCGAGAAAACCAAAAAAAACGAAAAAAGGAACTGAGCACAGCTTCCAAGGCTGTGTGGGATGGTGACATGGTCTGTGTCCATGCAGCAAGTACCTCTGTGCACATCTATCTGCTTGTTGAGAGAGAAGATTGACCTTGCAATTGTTTTTTCCTGGCAGCAGTCCGGGAGACTGCCAGTGCATCCCATTCGGTCGATAGTCCATCCCCTCCCACTTGCAATTGTTTTTGTTTTTTTTTTTGTCTTTTTTTTTAAACAAAAAAAGAACCTTGCGGTTCTGGCTCCTTTCCATTCTAGGGAGCATCAGTCCGGGTCCTATTCCACTGGCCAGTCAGAAAGGATTACAAATAGTTTTCTCACGCATGCTCCTTCCCATTAAGGTTGAGAGGCCCAAGCATACGGCATTGATTACTTCCCGAGGGAAGGATGTACCACCCCTCACCCCTGCCTAGTCCATGCCGCAAACGATGAGTGTTGGTCCTTGGTCTACGCCCGGTGGTTTTTGGGGGCGATTCGATGAGGGACCTAGCTAACGCATTAAGTTAGCCTGCACGACTTACTTTGGATGTTGGTTGCTAACCTGCCTTCTATTACCTCAGTTTTTGTAACTTACCTATGAGAGCCATAGCAGCTACTTGGCTGTCAGATTTACTTTCAAGTAGTGGGACTGCTATCTTGGCTACTTAATGAAATTTTGGAAAAACCCTAGACGTACTTACTCCTCTCAGCTGTTGGGCTGTCAGGTTCACTTGGACAACTAGAGTATTGCGAAGCATCACCTTTCTAAACCTTTCAGGGCCTGCCTTGCTAAAGCCCCATACCCTAAACCGACCAATTAACGTTATCTTCGGCCCGTAGTGGGGGTTACAATATGCTTCCTGGGCTAGACATCACTGTGCTCGCCCCAGCTATTTACTGTCTGATATGCGATGTCTAGCCCAGGAAGCAGATTGGACCCCCCCCCCCCCACGGGCCGAAGATACCGTTAATTCTTGGTCGGCTTAGGGTTCGGGGCTTTAGCAAGGCAGGCCCTGAAACGGTTAGAAGGGTGATCCATAGACGGCATAGAGTAATACTACACCTGCTGTTTCCTGCTGATTCCATGTCTCTCCATGAGGTATGTTCCTTTTTGTCCATAGTGCACTGCCCAGTTTTACTCCGGGGCTGTTCATGAGGCTGCCTTGGCCTATGCTGTTCAGTGACCTCTCAAGTTCTGCTGGGCCCCTCTACCCCTTGTTGCCTCTTCTTTCTCTAGCCCCTCTTCTACTTCCTACTTCCCATATCCCTCTATCTCCTACGAGCTGCCCAGTTTTCATCCTCATGCCCCTATTCCTTGTCGATTATCTTTCTGGCTTCCGGCGGCTAAAGGCTGCGTGAAGGGTGGAGGGGATCTCTTCTCTTACTAATCTAGGTCCATTGGAGCAGTCCCGTCCTGCACTGTTGTCTGTCGGCCTGGGTCCCACCAGTCCGTGAAGCGTTCTTCCGGTTATTTCTGCTCCTAACCCCTCTTTTAGCCATGTCCCTTCAAATCCCTTCTGGATTCTGGTCCTCTTCAGATTGTCCTCTTCTCTGTCCATCATTCCCAGGGTGTGTACCCACACTAGTCTAATTCCAGCTTCCATCATTCCTTTTGCTTTATCAATTATTTTCTTGCTTCCTATTGTTCCCGCACATCTGGCTCTCCAAAATTGTTTGACCACCTTTTGGAGACTCTAGTTTTAATAAGGAGTTGTTGACCTTGAATAGTAAGGTTGTCTAAAGATGGCTGATGCGATAATTGCCCCCGCTACAGATTCCAATATCAAGCAGTAGTTGATTCTGGAAAGGGTAGTTTTCCTTGTTGGGTCGTAAATTTCTTAGCTTCGGGGTGTCTTACTCTAAATGGGTCTATCAATTTCATTTCGGTCATGAATTCTATCATTACATGTCCTCTGATTCCTCTATCCCTTCTGAGCAAGTCGGCGTAGAGACTAAGTTGGGGGGTGATGATCGCTGTGGAACGAAGGTTGGTACGTGGCGGCCGGGATCACCAGTGCCCGAGTAAGGAAGGTGTGTGTTGACGAGTGGTTGCATGGCCAGACAGGGTTCAGCCTCCTGATGAGTCCGTGCAACTCCGACGAAACAATCTATCATCGGTTTTATTTTTTTTCGTTTTGTGTTTTTTTGCTACTTGTTCTTTTGTCTGCCTTGTTGTCTTGTTGCCTTGCTGCTTCTTGACTTCCTGTCCGTTCTTTTCTCGCTTAGTGTTGTTTATCTGCCCACCCGCCTCCCCCATGCCCTCCAGCCTACATTCCGTGCTGTTGCCTCACCATCCTAGTGCTACTTCTTGAGTTGTTGTTGCCGCCTCATTCTTCTGCCTAGTGCTATTTGTCTGCCCGCCCGCCTCCCCCATTTGCTGCGGCTTGTCGTCCAAGTACCATGTTGCGTCTTGACCTTAGCCTTGTCATTTTGTTTGCCTTGTTGTACTTGTCGTACTGCTGGTTGGTTTGGTTTTTGTTTCTGTTTTTTCTTTTTTGTTTCATGGCTTTCGAAAACTGGGCATTATAGGCATTATTTTCTATGGGCATCCTGGGCTGTGGGCTCTTTCCCGGTGTTGTTTATAAGCACACCCTCCGACCAATAGTGGACAGATTGGTTTTCTTAAAGACCATACTCCTCTTTTAACCGCATTAGATATTGGAGTTATTAAAATACGTATTGATAGTAGATGGACTACGATGGCTCTTATGGGTGGCTTTGCAATGATAGACAGTAATCAAGTTACTA